GTGTGCATGCACACTCACAAACTAAGACCCAATTTTTTTGTTGCTGGTCTCTGACAGACTGTAATGTAAAATCACTTCAACAAAGCGTTTGATGTCAAGAATAAACTGTGAATCTACTGACTTGCCATGTTTTGATGACAGGCCACCCAGCATGGTGAGTGATGGCCTCTGGATCTGACAAACATCCCCAGAGACTTCGCCCATCCACTTCAGCATCAATCAGCCTGAGGCACAAAAATTTCCCCCAAAAAGTCCATTTGGGTCTTTTCACTGATGTGTTTCCCTCAAAGGTGAGTCATTTGTTCCACACCCAGACACTCTCTAATTGGATTGTAAATCTTTGGTGACGATTAATCATACGACCTGCTTCAGAGGTGCTAATGAGGAGCTATTTTAGTTGCATGACATCACCACAAATCACCTCTGGCGACTCCGGGCTCCGGGTTTTAACCTGTTTTGGAGTGTTTCATCTTCTTGCAAGAGGAATGAAATTGTCATTTTTGTGCGTTCCTAGGGCCGCCTCTGGTTTCAAGTTTGTTGAAGGAATGGTAAAAGTCCCAACTCCCAAATCAGTGCAAGGCTCACTCTCTCTGCGTCTCTCTCACCCTTTGGCATCTCACAGCTCCTCTAAGTGACAGACATTAAGTTAGTCTGTCACCCAAAAATGTTTTGCCGTTTGCAGACTTAACAATGCATTATTTGAGGCGCTAAGGATGAGGGTGTTTTTACAGCATGGCATTTGACCATAAGCGCTGTGTAATATTCTGGTGCTCCTTGTCCTTTTTAAGCTCATTATCAGGGAGTATAAAATATATTTTTGGCCTCAGTCAGAGGATTAAGTTCTAATCCCAGATTTTAGAAAAAGGTGTAATGAGTGACAATGATGTCACCTCTAGGTTTTTCAAGGAGGGTTTTGAATCTTGGATTTGGGGTTAATCGGTCTGCCACTATCTTGGCTTTTCTTGGAGCCAGAAAATCCCAAACTGGTCAAACAGAGGAGCCTGGATGAAGCTGAAGAAGTGATGGGCAAGTGACTCAGAAAGGTGGAGAAATCCTTCAATCGGGAACATTTGTTAATCACAACTGAATTTCAGCATCATATTATTACAGCCTATACTACAGTGACTTGAACTATGTATTTGTGCACATATTTAGTCCTAAAATTAAACAAAAAAATACATTGTTGGTCTATGCCTTCCAGAATGACGCATAAATCGTTTTCTGATCCGAAACCACTTTTGTTAAGGTTTGTTTGAAGCCCAAAAACAACTTGCTTATGGTTACAGAAAGATCTTGATTAGGGTTAAGATAATGGCATGATTAAGGTTAGAGGGGCTTAGTCATTATGGTTACAATAATTAGCACTTTAAAGGTTAAGGTTATTCCTTTTACAATACATAGGAAAACTCTTATACAAGAATATAAGCTTTACTAAGGCAGATTTGTTGGTAGTTTTACCTGTCATGGTGTAAATCAGTGTCCCATATTCCATACCCAATGGCCTTCAGCCCCACCTCTGCATCTTTAAACTGTAAACTCTCATTAAATCTGCAAACAGGAGGAAGAGGCCGAAGTGCAGAGGAAGAAGCATGAGAAGGCCATATGTCTGAGACTTTAGAGATATTTTTACGTGCAGTCCAAACCAGCTGGTAGCCAAGTTACAAAGAAGACTACTTTATGCAGGAAAACCACTGGTTTTCCAGCACAAATATAACCATGAAGAACATCCTCTTTTATTCAGGAAGTAGCAGAATGTTTGGAATATGTGATCTTAATTTGGAGAAGCACTAACAATTCCTTAACCTGGATAGGGACTACCAATCACCTCCATCACAGCTGTACATTTTAATGAAAGAGGGATAATTTGGTTGTCTTCTCAACACTGCAGTCACAGGTCTCATCTGCCAGTCAGAAGTGGCCTGGTCTCTCGACTCCATACCAGACAACCAAGGAGCTAATCAACTTTGACTGCACTGTCTGGGCTTGGTGGTGGTGGAGTCTTTGACGGGTGCAAGTTTGCAGCAGGGATTAATCTCACCGTACTAAAGTATCTCCCTGGCAGCTGTTGGCATGTGCCGTCCACTCCATTGATCGGGCCCGTCTGTGCAGGAAGGGCTGCATAATTCAATTTAATGTATGAGGAGCAAGGGGGGCTCCGGGCCTGTCACAGTCAGTGTGGACCGATCCAACTGGCCTCATGCTAATGCGGCCTGCCAGGCCTCCCCGAGGACCGAGTCTGGCTTTAAGGACCACAGAGGAGGACTCATTCTGCCCATGCCGATTCGTCAAACAGAAGAGGAGAACTGTATCTCCAGGTGATCCTAAAAACAGTCAGACAGCATGAGTGAGGGCGAGACATACAGAATACGACAACCCAGAGAATGAGAGAGATGCCTCTGATCAGAAGATAGGTTGTTGAATGGAAAAACACTAACTGGCTGCTTGGGGAAATTAACAGGTATTCTCATCAATGGAATCAGCTGAGTGTGTGTATGTGGGTGTAAAGAGTTAGGAAATCTCTCCATCCATTTGTTGTTTTGTCCCTGTGTTAGACACCACTAATAGCAGTTTGCTAATACCTGGGAAAGTACATCCTGAGCCTGTGTTTCAGGATTATAGAAACATAGTTCAAATATAGTAAAAAGTGAGATGTTAGAGATCAAAACAAGTAAAACTTTCAACAAAAAGTTCAACTGTATCATTCATACAATAATTATTGACTTGAAATGAATTATTAATCCTTCAAAGCACTAAGGCAGTCTACTGGAAAACCACTCCATCACCTTTACATGATATCTAGTCCTGAGCAAAGCCAGTCAATAGCATGTATGTTACATTAGTGACTTATACAACACTATATTCTTGTTTTTTACAACTCATTAGATGTGGATTTGGCTTGTTGACAAGATGTCAGATTGTCTAACTCCTGGAGTTTCTTGCCTCATCCAACTTCCTCTCAGCAATGTTGCCTGTTGCCTGTGCTTTGGTAAGTACAATGTTACTGTACAGAATGATGCCCAAATCTACAAACATGAGATTCACATGACATTAATATAATGATTGCCTCAATATGTCAGTGGCTTTTTTCATGAGATCCAGTTGTGACTTTGGGGCAAATGTTAAACAGGATTCTCTACCTAGGCTGCAAAACCATTTTGAAGTGAATACTAAACAAACAAGGGCTGTGCTCACAAAGCTTTAATCAATGCTATTATTAATGGTTGACTGCTTTAGATTGGAAGAAAATCCAGCTGAGAAGACATTTCACACCTTAATCAGGTAGAAAAATAGCAATTGAAGCACTTATGGCTTTCCCTGCAAATATGTCACTGCTCATTTCGGAGCTTTTTATCCAGACAGACCATGGTGCCAGGCTTATTTTCATCAGTTAATAAAGCAATAGTGCATTGGAGCCAATAACTAGATCATAATGACCACAATAATATTGACAGTAACACAGCGTGATATTATATTGTCAGATGTTTTGCGCTAATTTCTTTTTAAACATCAACAAATGTTACAATATCAGTGAACTCAAATAGACTCCCAGTTCATTTAGTACCATGAAGAGATAATCATGCATTTACAACAGCCCATCACAAATGCTGTGAAACCAAAGGGATATTACAGCCCAGCAGCTTATATAATATTTAATAATACAAAATAATATTAATATTAGATCTAGATTCATATAGTTGTGTGTTTTATAAGTTGCACACCTGCTTACATTCACATACATAAAAGTGTAAATATGCAGACAATTATTATAGTTCTTTAAGGTGCCGTATCAATTGTAACCATTGAACCATGACCCTCGCAACCATTACCCAGAGGTCTCTGGAGCTGGCAGTGACCTATGTTTTTCATACACATATTCAGCCAACAAGTCCTCAAAATGAAACAAAGAAATACATTGTTGGTCTGTGCCTTCCCTGAACGACACATACATCGTTTTCTGATCTGAAACCACTTTTGTTAAGGTTTGGTTGAAGCACATTCTCGAACATGGAATCTTTCAGATGTTTTCTGTTTTACCTACAAATAACCTGCTTCAGATAATTTGGCTAAACTGCTGGCTTGTTCATAAACTCTCCGATTATGGTTTTAATGATCCTGCCTTGTTCCAAGATCTCAGTTAACTTTAATGCTATTTCTGATGGGAATGATGGCAAAATCAGAAAATAGTTGCGATGACTCATCACAACTATTTTCGCAGAATGTCACCACGACTGAGATCAATAACAAAACAAGATCATTTCTGTTCAGTTGCATATCCTTTATTGTCATGTATCTAGAGATCACACCTTCATCTTAAGATATCATTTTCTTATGAACATGATTTCCTGTAGTTAGCTTTTTTAAATAATGATGAGATTGTGAGAGGCCCATATATATTTAGATAGTTGAATTTTCTTGTGATACCAACTTTATTACATAATACCTCTATAATAAATGACATTTCAAATTTTAACTGTAAAAGTAAGTTTATTAACTATTTATCCAGCATTGTATGCTTCGTTCTCTTTTGAGACACATCCTTTTCTCCACGCTGAGAATGAGGCTTCATCAAAGGAGACATAAATATATCTTGTGAAAATAGTTAAATTGTTAACAATGTTGTATGAAGTTTTATTTATTTTGCCCATGGTGTCTTCATAATATTATAATGATCTTTCATTGACTTTCCACTCTGTTGGAAGAACAGGCCCTTGATCCAGTGTCACACTGTGTAAATGCCACTGGATGATGATGCTCCCCTCGGTGCTGTCCTCATTTGTTGGCAGTAATAATACTAATGTATCAAATTTAGTCAGAGAATTATTTATTGATTAAAATGCTAACTAAGCATAGCAACTTTAAAATTAGCATGTCATTTGATTTGACAAACGCATACAGAACCCAGCTTGAATTCATATTCAAATCTTTTATTTTGTGCGGTTTGCCCTGATCACTGCCCTCCACCGGACTCATTCCAAGAAACTCCCTGTAGCACAAGCCCATGTTGTTTTACATTTTATTAATAGCAACATCAGAGTACTAAATGTACAGAGGACGAATCCAATGAGAATCGCATTTACAGTGCTTGCAAATACAGAGCTTAGTAGTACAAGAGTAACCAAATCAAAGTCACCTGGAAATCGAAACGTTTACCAATAACTACAAAAGGAAGAGATGTGGTTCATAAGACACAAAATAAAAGTTATACAACATTTAGCCGTCACAGAGACAGACTAGAGTCCCTTTTGTGGAGGTGTGTTGTGTGTGTATGTGTGTTTGTATATACTATAGTCTTATACAAAAGTTAACAGAGGTACTCATTGATATATTAAACACAAATATAAAAAGTTTAAGAGTCACAAAGTACAAACTCTTCATTTTTATGGCGACAACACAACTCGAGTCAGGTTCCTTCATGGTAGATATGAATTGTGATTGTAAGTCAGCGTCAATGAATAAAACGACTGTGTGCCCACGTGTGAAAAGCCCTTCCCTCCCCCAAAAATAAATAAAAAACAAAAACATAACAACTTCCTCACCCCTAGAAACTGAAAGTGTACATATGATATTTATTTATTTATTTTTTTTACACCTCTGTCCGCTCTGATATTGATCAACTCTCAGGGAACAAGCAATCATGGATCTATAGTTTCCTTTCATCCCAAATTCCCTTGCTGTGCCACTCAATCCACAGCGTTGGAGGCCTCTGATGGAAATGAACGGCAGATTTGGGTCAAGTCTCTATTTAGCAGAGGGATTATGGGAGTATTGTGATGTTGCAAACTAAGTGTTGTTTTCATTTGTTCAAGTCTGACTGTATTGATAAGCACTGACAGTGACAGTGCCTTAGCTCTTGTACATAGAAAAGTAAAAACATGACCCGAGAGGAGAGTCGGAGCCCTCCGCTTTAGATACAGTAAGCGCACAGTACGTGATTTTGTGAAACGATGAGGAGAAGCAGAGTGAGGAGCTACAGTTTCCTGATGGCTAAAAAAATGGGTATCAGTCCATGAAGATAAACTTTTTCCTTTCCTCTGAGTATGACTTCATTTTTCATATTTCCTTCCCCCCTGCTGAGTCTCACATTGCTGTTTGAGCGACATGCTGTCGACTTCTTTAAAAATCTACATCGTCACCATCAGTGCCAGCTGTGAAATACGTTTTCTACACTAATCAGACAGGCCATGATTAAACGGAGTTGATACATTGATTCCTCCTCTCGTGAATGCTTCCAATAATATGGGAAAAAACAAACCTTGGCTTTGGGGATGTTCAGCCGACACCTAATTCACATATACACACATACGTCAATAAGTTCCACTCTGTAGGTCTGACATGCAAACAGGAATCACAGTCCCTGCAAATGAGTGTGTGGCACATCCTTCATCTTGACAGGAGAACCTTTGCTGATTGATAGCTTGTTTGTGCTGAAGGGAGCATAGGTTTTGTGGGTTGCTGAAGAGACACGGGAGCCGCGAAATCATTTGTTGTGAAAAAGGCATGTCAAGTCTTTGGTGTCTGTTTAAGACTTTTCTAAGAGACCCCCCCCCCCATGTTCCCTCTGCCTTTGCCTGCACTGCTCTCAGATAATGTTTCCTGAATCAAATCTGACCAGCGGAGTGGAATAATTTTCCTCCCTCTTACCTATAATACACCACACTCATCAGCTGTCCTAAAATATAAACTGAAAAGGCAAGAAAGCAGTAAGGCATTTCCTAACATATCAGTTTGATTTCAGACAGAGGTAAAAGGAGGAAGGGTGTATGCCGATGTCTCCAGATATTCGTGCCTGTTATATGTGCTGCAAGTTACATTTTTCCGCGTGTCCTTCAAGAATGCAAAGCAAATTGCTTTTAGCTGGCAGCATGGTTTTAACGAGAGTTACTAACAATGCAAACAAGCTTTTCAATGCTAACTGAAGTAAAGACCCAATAAACCCTTTACCCAACAGTATGAAACACAAAGAAATTCGAAAAGTCAAATATTCGCTTCATTAAACTATCTGATTTTGTAGGTTTCAAAGGATGCGAGATTAGTCGCACACAATCATTATTAGCTTGGTATAAAATTTCACCGATTTTCAGTAGGATCACATTTTACAATTATCAGGGACAGTGTTAGTTGTACAGAAACTTGGCAACCACAAGAACATTCTTGTGACGAAACAGCAATTCAAAGCATGGTCACAAGATCTCTAACAATCTTCAGTATGTAAGCTTTAAGGATAATTTGGGTTTCAACTTAGGTCTTATTTCCATACTTTTGTCCATCATTGCTGTCAGTAATAACAACACTGTACTCAACCAAGTTCAATGTTGAGATCTTGGAACTCGACATTTCTAAAAAGAAGTCAGACAGGGTATACAAACAGTCAGATAAAGTCTTATGAAGAAACGTTTTAAAGTTATTTGTAAGAGAAAATAAAGGTGCTTAGGTCAGCTTACAGACTTCAAGGATGAACTTTTACCTACGTGGTACTTATGTGTGCACACAGATTTGCTCCTGTGTTTTAACCGGTTGGACTTAAATTCAGCTATGTCGCCGTGTTCCAGATCTCCACAATTTACTCAGTGAGTACAGTGTCATCATAACCAATAGGAATGTTTGCTGAAGCTACAAAACTAAGAGTCGACAGCTATTCTAGTGTCTCTGTGAGGCTGAACTCGGGCGTGTTAGCATGCTAGTCAAGGGATCACCAAAGGCATAAGGATTCATCTTGTGGGCACAATGGATATCTACTTCTAATCCATCAAATAGATATATTGCAGTCTGTGGTGGACTGACTAACCAACAGCTAGTACTGCTAGAAATAAGGCCTCAGTTGAAATACACCAAAATTATCCTTTAAAAACTTCAATAAATAACTCTTAGTGAATGGCTTCCCACATCATTGTTTGTGAGTCTGATCTTGGCATTTTTTAACTGGGTCAATTTGCATCAAAAGAGTACTTAACACATCATCTTCCTTTCATAATTCTTTCTTTAGACGTCTTCCCTGATTATTTCATATGCTCATAAATGCTAGTTTTGCAGTCATTAAAGTAAAGTATGTGGCGAATTGTACATTTTCTGGGGCGGTTGTAGTTTGTATATACAAATACAAAATGAGAAATTATGACAAATGAATTCAAACCAGTCTAGATCAAGTTTAGTTGGTTTCTTGGCAGCTACTGTTGGATCTACACCATTTTTTTTTTATTCACGTGATGAAACACTATATTAGAATTCATGTAGAAATGATGCTTAAGAACAGAGAGTTATTGGTTTCCCAGCCAACTTTGAACACAGCAGAACCCAAGATATGATCACACTTCTTCGATCCACTCAGCACTCAGTTACTTTCAGGTCTTCCACCTGGAAATCACTCTCCAGTCTCTGAACTATTGCAGCGTCTACTGAAGTATTATACTGGTTAGCTAAAGATATAATACAAGTACTGCTTGAAAGTGCAGGTAGGAAGCTTGGCACAAGGTTAGTTTTGTGTTTTAAAAGAAATACTGTAGTTACACATGTAAACAAAGACACTATCCCCGACCTAGCTGAAACCTTCCCAAAAACTGGAGAGGTCTTGAAAAATAGAACACACCTGTACACAAATAGAAGCAAATATATAGAAAATACATTTACACGTGTATAATATACAGTAAGTTTTCGTAACCCTCTGACTGTTAAGATAACACTCTTCATTCAAAAAAATATATGTTATGTCAAAGAAGCAACTCCTCAGCCTGACACACATGTGAGGCTGAATTGGTATGGGTCATTCATGAGAGTGGTTTTCATGTTGTGAATGGGCAAAAGCAGGAGTTTTGCACCACAGTGTTTATCCCAGGCCATCTTGGCACCTCCTGAATGGCTCGCATTTACAGATACTGATCTTACTGGGACAACCTGTTTTCTTGAATGCTGTAAGGAAGTGAGTACAAGCCTAAACACCACCTAAGCGAATTACCGGAGGTCCACTGTCGACAAGCAATAAAACCCACCTTTTAAATCTGTACATATTGCTGTCCGCAGCCAAAAACGTTTACAATTACAGAATTGTATTTGTGCTTTGTACAAACCCACAGCACAATAAAAGGTAGACTCATAGGCGACTTCCTCAAAAGCTTCGTAGCACAAAGGTAATCTGTCTTTCTGAGCTTGAGGTTGATAATATAATTATTGGTGCTAGAAAGCTCTCAGGAGAGCTTTACTGTCCTTCCTGACCATGGAGTTCCCTCACCTTGACTTAAGAGATAGGTTAAACCAATTTGGCAGCGGCTGATTGGCTTGTCATAATCCCCTTACTTCAACAATACACTGACGGAGTGTTTTAGGTTTTTGATAGAACAAAATGAAACCCCTTCTCTTTCATCAGTCTGTATCATATTTGCGCTCTGCTTCCTTCGGCACAAATTAAAACAATCTATTTGTGCACAACAGCCAACTTCCTGGCTGTGATAGCTGAAATTCTGATATGCTAGAAATATTGTCCTCAAGTATTGAGTGGATCTGGCTCAGGAGAGAGCTAACTAACCCTTACCACACATTCAGTGAGGGAATTCCTCCCTGCTTACATCTTGCATTAGAAACACATGATGCAGATCATCTTGATCCTGAGGGACACCACTTTGCAGCACCTCTTTCACAGCTTACTCTTCATTCTGAAAAACTGGGGAAAATGTTATGCTCCATCTTCAACAAATTGGTTCATGTTCTTCTTGACTTTCTGATTTTTAGGTTTCAATAATAATTTATCAAAAGGGAACCAATGTGGGAGTTGTGTGGGGATATTCATTTACTATCCGTGGAGGGATTTTTCAATCTCTTTCCTCTTTATGCAAATTATCACATGAATTATTTGAATTTGAAGCCCAAATTGAATCTTGTCCACCCTTTTAGCGTTGCAGCAGATCTAAATCATAACCAATCATTGGAATTTATCCCGAACAGCTGCTGAAACTGAGACCAACATAAAGTGTGCAAGAGAGCTAGACAGACCTGAGACAGTATGAATGTCCTGTCCAGCTCCATGCAGTGTGTTGTGGCTGTCCTCACTCAATCTATATATGAATTTGCTGCTATGGGACTCGTTGCAGCAGTGATCCTGCACCACAGAAACTTTTGCTGTACTTTGTTTTTCCATCTGGCCAAATCAGGTACAAATCTTACATAATGAGCAATTGGAGAGGGCGTTCAATTGGCTTGCACTGGGTGTATTTCAGATTGTTTTCTTTGTTATAATCTCAGCTCGGGTGCGAGTATTTAATTAACAGTGCTGATTTCCAAGTGCTTCGGACCTCCACTGTTAGGGCTGTGGTAGACTCGTCTGTGTAAAAAAATAGACATAACTATTCTGTTTTAAAATGGGACCTATAGAAACAATGTTTTAAGATCAACTGTTCAATAAAGCAAATACCGTGTCTTTTTTTCCCCATCCTCTCTCTTTCCCAACTAATAGATTTATGCTTCATATAAATATCTTTTAGACTCTTTTGCAACACATTTCTTAAAACTATTTCAAAACATATTCAAATACATTTGTAGCATTTTTTATCTTTCACATTTCTTTAAAAAAACAAAACAAAAAAAACAATGTAGTTGGAGTCGATACAGGGTTAATATAGCACTCTTTGTTATGTCCATCAGTTGTTGTTGAAACTTCTTCTATCCAGGTTGTGGCACATAGTGGCATTATTGGCACATTGTTCAGAAATACAGTTCATCTTCCACCCACAGCAGCTCCGTGGGTTCCGTTTTCAAATGTCAAATGTTTTTCTTGAGACATCCTTGACGTCCACAGTCTTGTCCCACACATCCTGTAAATATACCTATATATAATCTATATCTAAATGACTGTACGTTCCCGGAAATATGGAGTGGCAGCGTTGTGGCTGCTCTGCTTGTCATCTCTAGAAAAATAAATATCTTCACCAGTGTCCAAAGAGTGATCACACTATTTTACAAAAGAAGCTGTTTTGTGTGTTTCTTGTTTCCAACTGGATCCTGTGGAGATGCGGAGAACAAAATCACAATTACCCCCTCATTATGGGCTCAGCGCAAAATAAAACAGCTACTGTAACACAGGTGGGACTTTCAAAACCAGCCTAATATGCTCTTCTGTTCTGAAACTGGTATCCAGCTCTGGCCAGAAAAGGTGCATCCCAGTGCCTTTCTCAAACCACATGGAATGGCAATTCTGCATTAAAAATATGCACCGTTAAGGCCTGCCGGAACATACAATAAAGGCTAGGAAATACATTAAGTTTGCAGTACAATAACAAGGAACATGTTATGTCTTTTAGGACTGCAGCATTGGGAGCATGCTGCGTAGAGCTGAGCTGACTGAGACTAATGTGTGTCCAGACAACGGCGAGGCGCTGTCCTCTCACTACGCTACCTGCAGGCAATCTATTCCTTTTAAAATCTGGGTCAATAGCAGACGTTACACCTCCCCCCGGGCTGCCAGCAATACTGTGGGGCCGGAGCATGTGTTTAACTTTCACGCTTTGAATTTCAAATGCAGGCCATTCTGGCATATATTAGCCATGCATAAAAATATGTCACAAGTCAAGTGAAAGTGCTTCTTCACTCTTAGAGATGTTCAACACAATATGCTATTGGTGTAAGAATGCGAGTGGTGACACAAATATTAATGAAAATCTTCAGATACGAATAGTGAAGTTATTAATTATGAGCATATAGCCATTTAATACTGATACACATAATTAGTCTCTTATCTCAACTACTTAGACCTCTTGATACTGCACTGAAATAGATTTATCAACCTTTTTTCATCCCTGGGCAGAAGCTGGAAAGGAGCATAATCATGTCACAAATAACAAACATATGCCAAGTTCCTTTCTATTCCCAAAGTGGGGCAGCGTCACCACGGGAATCGAGGTGGCTAAGGCTCAGACGATGATTTGCAAGGGGACAAAGTGGCACAGTACCCACCAGAGCGTGAATTCAGGAAGTCTCTTCCACCCACAGGAAGTGAACAAGGCCTTCAGCTCGTCAACACGAGATCTCGAACCATTTCTCTGACACAAAGGCCACAGGGATCAGTTGTCTTTCAGTGGGGGAGGGCCTGTAGAATAAAGTGCAAGAGGTGAGAACATTAAGCAGACTCGTATTGGTGGAGATGATGCAGTTTGATTGATTTAATATTTGTGTTATTTAGGTACGTTGATAATGTTCCTCCAAATATTTTTTTCACTTCATACATCCTCTAAGGCCCACTGTAATAATCTCCCTAGTTAACCTCTAGTGCCACTGTCAACATTGTAGAATTGATCACAAACACAAAGGCAGAGATGATCACAGTCTTATCACAGATTAATCAGCAATGTTGTTGTTAAACATCAGTAAAAACTTATCTACCCTTCCATGACTTTAAATAAATAAAGCTAGGCATTATTTGCACCAGATGAATGATCCTACCCTCACTGCCAGCATAATGAATCTGTTACAGGGCTTGGACACAGAGTAAGTGTGACCATCTTTGCTGGCCCTGCAGCTCAGATGACTGTTACTGTTATCCACTCAGAGAGTAAACACTGTCAAAACTCTACCAAGCTCATTGTCACACTACATAAAAATGATTGTTTGAGGTATAATACCACAATAGGCCAGATTTCTATGTCAAACACACCTGCCTTGTCAGCTTGTATCACAAAGAAAGACCCGCAGAGAGGAACAATTTCAACTCAGAGTGAAATGCAAACACACCAGTGACTCACCAATGTTACATCTCTTGCCTGTCTTTTGGTATAAAGCAGCACAGATTAGCTGGGTTGGTAAACATGGATGTGTTGTGGGCAATTTTCTGATATCACATTACAGGACTTCTGGTTATTAAGTATATATATATATATTTGTCTACCATTTGAAACACTGCCAGAAAGATCAGTTGAACAGAAAATGGCACTGTAAAGACTTCACTTCCCATTGCCCTACATCTATAAATTGACTCATTACACAACAGCAAAAATCAGTGGTAGATTTAGGTTTTCGTGTGCAGCTCGAGCGTGCTGAGGCCTACACCACTCAACCAGGTGTCAGGCAGATGGACGAGGAATGAGGCAATGGACAACAGCATTAAAGGCAAACATTTTATGTGTTGATTTGCTCTGACGGGAGCCGATTGCGGTTGCAGAACAACACACATGAAGGAGAGTGTGAGGAATCCAAGTATTTCATGAGGAAAAAGTATTCACCAGGATATTTCAATGTACTCTTTCTCATCTGTTTACATTAGTCATCTTTTTGAATGCTTTGTAATTCAATGTGGAAGTTGTTAGAACATTTATCCCCACATAAAACCATTATTATAAAGAAATAGACATTGATTTCTTGACCCAATTTTTTTTTAGGCTATTCGACACTAATAACATTAGTGATAATAACTGTAGTGGACAGAGACATCCGTTTGGAAAAGTCTTTATGCTTTATGACTTCCAGTGCTGGCTGACTGAAGAAATGTTCCAGTGTGCATCCACCTTTGTGCTATAAACAGTCCAGGGCCGGCGTACCTGTTTCCGTTGTAAGCAGTCTTGTAGACAGGCGTCTGCTGGATCATCTCATCAGTGTAGATTGGCACGGCAGTCCGAACGCACTCATGTGAGCACTGCAGGCTGTCATTGTAGGCAGTGAATATGTCCACCTTGCTGGGCACCCGGGCTGGGGTGAAGTCTGTCAGGTTTTGGCAGCTTTCCTCCTGCTGGTGGATCTTGCGCTGATGGCTATTGTGGCGGCCATTTCCCGACTGCGCACAGCTACAAAAACACGCACCAAAGACAAGAAACAAACATAAAATCATACCTTGTACCTTTGGTCATCTACATAGATTTAAAGAAAAAGAAGTGTGTGGTTCTGTAGTTGATGTATTTATAGTGTAAACAGTAAAGGAATCTTTCCTACCAGTTTTTAAGGACGAGTGTTGTGATCAAGGCTGCGATAACCATAATGAGAGACACAGTGATTGTGATTATCTGGTGAACTGCCAAACCTGCAAAAAGACAAATAAACAAAATAGCAGAGAATTACATTATTTGTGGAGGAAATGGTTTTGCTCTTGTTGTTCACAGTAGATTGCCACTTCACTTTTGTTTTGTGCACTGTACAAACCCACTGCACTCTACAAAATATTGAGGGCAGCTCACTTAAAAAGTAGAGGATGACAACCCAGAACAATTTTGCTCTTCAGTAAGTATTGATGACACTGCCATCCACTGCTATTCATAATTTAGCGGTCATATAAATTATTCCATTATAGTACATCTGACTGTAATGGATAACCAAGTCCATATCTTCTGTAAGTATGGCTTATTATTCTTATGTCAAATAAAAAAACAAAAAAAACCCCCCTCACATTTAGTTGTTGTTTGACTATATTATGCCTATATATACTAAGTCCTAACTCCTAGTAAATAAGACTTTCCAAGTTTTCTTCCAGACCAAATAAATCCCCAAACAGCAAATTAAGAGCTGGTGTGCATTTTATAACCTGTTCTCCCCTGAAAGTATCTCTGTAGATTTTGCCCCAAGGCCTTTATTTAAACATTAAGGGAGAGCAAATTACTTGATATAGTACATCAGATAAAATATCTGATCAAAAGAAGATCCTGATAGGTAGTCTGAACGCTTTGAAAAGGGAGACATGGTAATGCAGTGTAGAGAAATGAGGATACACACATACATAGCATTAAAGCTGGTTTGTAAGTAATAAATTAGGTGTTCATGCTATTCTTAAGAGCTTCAAAGAGAGAAATCAGACACTGTTATAGTTCATTACATTTAAAACAGTTTTAAAACCAAAATAAAAGTGTTTTTTGTGAATGATCAGCTAATGAAAGGGCTGAAATTAGACAGCAATAAGACAATCAGAACCATATGAAATTGAATACATTTATGTGAATTAAACTCATTGTGACCAACTTAAAGTACAAAATTGTGGATAAGAAAATTGGCGCCACAGCACTGCAAGCATAACCCACAACTACACCATTTATAGCATTTGCCTAATACCTTGTACCCTAATATTTTAAAGGCACATCAAAAATTGTGTTGTGACAGTTCTTAAGACCATTTCCTCAATTTGGAAATGCCTTGTAGACTGCAACCAGACTTGAAATAGACTGACCTGAAAAGCAGATTAAGATCACAATATCTATCTACAATCATCAGATTGCCCACACCTAATTTTTAGGCGAATGCCTTTTTAAACATCCAGCAACAGAGAAACATTAACATTTAGTTGGAGTAGTGTCTCTGGTCACCTGTGTAAATTGGACTGAAGGTAATGTAACGTTTTGGTCTCCACCTTCTCCTGAAAAAAGATATCTGGCTCTTAAGCTGATACATGCTGCAATATTTTCACCCGCTAATCACTAATTCTATCTGTGTTCTGTTCTGTGCTCGGCAAGTAGCGTGCAGTGGTTTCATTAGAGCTTTTTGGCTGAAGAAAGCTGCTGCATCTTGAAACAAAGTTGATAATGGTGGAGTTTGTGGTCCATGAACCTGAGGGGAACTGCAAAGGTGGTAATAATTATCTGCATTTGTCACTACAAGTAACCCACAAGTCATTTAATCTAGTGTAAATATAACAATATTGAATAGTGGTGCTTTAAAAAGCTATAGATGCCCTGCTACACTGTACGATGGCTAATTGATTTAAATATTTCTATATTAATGTGATGCTAGTATCTAAAGCACAGATAATGTGACAATAGGAAGTAGTAACCACAACAAGGTCCACAAGTCACAAGCTTTCTTCTCTTCAAGCGCATACAAACCAACTGTTATACGATGAACTGTGCTGTTTAAGATCTACTTGCACTTGTCTGCCCCTCATTATAGAAAATCATTATTGTGAAAAATTAAAACCCAATTACAGTGCTATCAAAAGGACAGCAGGGACACTGGTTGATGACAACTTGTACAGACTGGATGCTCTGTAATCAACACTGCATGGTCAATAGAGGATAAACTCTTGTATAGGTTGATGAATTTCACTGATGTTGTCTGATTCAAGAATGGTTATAAACCCACTGACCACTGTATAATCATGAGACAAACCAAAGCAATGAAAACCTCATAATCATAACTCCACATATTTTTGTGACATCTTCCAGGTATCTGGTTTATAGCCCTGTTTTCCTAAGCTGTCTGGATAGTGCAAAGCCATAAAATTATGACTACTCTTTAAATTAGGAACTCTGCAGCCTTGTGCTTATGCACTGCATCTTAACCAGCTTGTAGATATAAAAACAGACCAAAGTTTCTCTGTTTGCTTCCTTTGTTCTGTACCACTGAAGTACAAAAGCATTGTTCTTATTTAAGACTGATTTAGACTCCTGTGTGTGCTGATCTCTCACTTTTGCCAGAGGACAGTTATCCACAAACAAAATACATGTCTAAAGTAAGGATTAGTGTGAGCCTATTCAACTGCACTGTATGGTTAGTGTGTTGTGTATGTGTGTGGGTGAGTGATAGAGCATAAGAGCGACTAGGACACAATGACACACAGCAGCAGGTGACATGCTGCGGGGGGGGGGGACTAAAAAGAAAAGCCATCATGATGAAAATGCCCACGTGGGCCTTATACATGTCACCTCTCGATCAGCCAGCTGCCTAGCTGCTGATCCAAGCCAATTTGTCTTTGGAAGGCTCAAAAGGAAGTGCTGCTCGGTCATTCTGGAAAAGCACAAGGCCTCTCCTCCGCCTGCCGGCTGCCTGGACGGCCTCCTCTTGGATAAAAAACTTCTGTGTGGGCAGGGCCGTGCAAAAATGAGGCCCGTGCAAAAAGCCAGGCCAGGTCAACCTTGGATTAATGATATCTCAGGCTGGCTCAGGGAAGCCTTACCTTCCCAGCGCAATCAGAGCCCCTTGCCACAGCAAAGGCACATTAACTTATCTGGTCATTTGCATTTCTCTCATATCCCGTCTCCATCCTCCCTCCTCTCTCACTCTGCCTGTCTCCAGCTGACGCCAAGGCTGTTAAGTTAAAAGCGCTCAGTTATAAATTAACATCTGTCCAAGTTCAGGCATAATAGAGCTTGCCCCTGACCTTGATCAATAGCTGAGGTCTCTCCTGAGAATTGTTTCATTTTACATTTATGTCACAGTGAAAGGGGACCCTTCCAAGTCAGAACATTTCAAATTAAAATCTGCAGTTAGCAAATTTGTCCCGTATAACCACAACTGATTAAATCACATTGTGTTCTGTACCTACTTTAATAGACTCTACTCTGCCCATGCAGTGGACAACAATGACACTACTGGTGAAATAAAGCACATGCAACCATCGATTGATGAATGTGATGTCAGTAGATACAACACACACTTGTTTAGCAGCCTGTGACTTTACACCAGAGGAATCCAATTGACTGAGTTGGTAAACACGAGGATGCTGTATGTAGTTTACTGATGCTATGTTACATGCTTTTAGGGTATTTAAGTCCAAATAGCTCATTAAGAGTTTCTTCATGGTGCTACTTGGAGCCAAAAATAGGCATACTTTCCTAGTACAGCTCTTTAATGAAACAAATGAGCCCAAGAACATGAGGTCCGGCAACACAAACACCAACATTAAGTCTATTATAACCTAGTTTTCAGGGCTCTCCGTTTAAGGGTGCAGGGATAATAGAGCAGATAATGACATGGGTGACAAATGTGAGTGCAGAGGCCAGTTCTATTTTCATCCAGAACTGCCAGTTAGAGGGAGGGAAATTTGGCCTGGCTATCTAAAACTCATTGTGTCCTGGCAGTGAGGTTGAAAAATCACCTTTGGCAGTCACCTTGCTTTAGAGATACCCAGTTAGGTTTTGTTTGGTCAGATCACTGCCAAACAAAGAGAGGCTGAGAGGGAGATAGACAGAGAGAGAAAGAGACAGAAAACAGGAAGGGACAGAAAGGGATACAGAGAATGGAGGACAGCTAGCTGGTGACCTCTGTGGCAGCAGGATTTGAGCTCCCTTCAGTGCTCCCAGCAAGAAATAAATGAGATTTTGGGCCTTCTTTACCGTGACAGTTTGATGAAGATGTCAGAGAATAGCATGGTGGTTAAATGAAATCTTTCCTTGCTACCTCCTTTTAATAAAAGACCTCCAGCTTAGAAGCAAAAACACAGTATGGGGTCAACAAATGTGTGTCGGGTAATGCCTGGTTTGTAGCACCTTTCGAAAACTCCTCAGTATGGTTTCTACACATCGCATTATCTCTGTATTTTCAGGCTGACTGCATTACAGATATTTGTTATTCATCTTCATTAGCGCAACATTTTCTTCAGTTAAAATATCTAAATGGCCAACACACAAAAAGGTCAAGATGACAGCCAAGTCTGCAAAGTGACTTGTAGAACGCTACACATGTATAGTACCTGTTACCACAACAACAGCAGAATATAGCCACGGACCAAATGACTATGTACAATGTGAGAGGTGTCTCTCATAGTGACAAACCCAGAGACCTATAACTTGACTCTGCTGTTCCAACAGAGCAATTCAGCGAATTGTTTTAGTCTTTAAACCATCAACCGTACTGTACCTATGCAACCTTGTTTCCAGACACAGTGGGTGAAAAAGCTTTGATAAACCCACTGTACACTACCTGGTGAGCACAAAAGGGCAGACAAACATAAAGCTAGTGACTAGCTGGTGACCATAGTGGAGCATTTAGCAGCTGAAGAAACAGGTATTTCTTTCTAGGGTGATATGTTAATGTTGTGTTAACAATACACTGTGTTGCACTATGTGTTCTGGCAACAGCATGAACTTTTTCAGCAGTTTGAGCTACAGTAGCTCGTCTGTTGGATCGGACCACAGGGAGCAGCCTTCACTTGGACCACGTTTGATAGGTGCTGACCACTGCAGACCGGGAACACCCCACAAGAGCTGCAGTTTTGGAGATGTTGTTATCCAGTCGTCTAGCCATCACAATGTGGCCCTTGTCTAAGTCGTCAAATCCTCACACTGCCCATTTTTCCTGCTTCTAACATATCACCTTGAG